ACGAGCACCTCCAGGACCAGTAGCTCCAGCACCTCCAGTACCTCCAGTACCTCCAGCTCCAGCGCCTCCAGTACCAGCAGTACCTCCAGCACCTCCAGCGCTAGCAGCTCCAGTAGCACCTCCAGCACATCCAGCACCAGCAGTGCCACCTGCTCCGGCAGCTCCAGCACCTCTAGTACGAGCACATCCAGGACCAGCAGCTCCAGCACCTCCAGTACCTCCAGTACCTCCAGCTCCAGCGCCTCCAGCACCAGCAGTACCTCCAGCACCAGCAGCTCCAGTAGCACCTCCAGCACCAGCAGCACCACCTGCTCCGACAGCTCCAGCACCTCCAGCTGTACCTCCAGTACCTCCAGCACCAGCAGTACCTCCAGGACTAGCAGCTCCAGCACTAGCAGGACCGTACCCTCCACCACCAGGACTGCCTCGCCGAACGATCCACGCACGAATCGCCTGCGGCGAGAGCGTCTCAAGTAGATCAGGCTGCGGTGGCTGTCCAGCTCCAGGACCTCCAGCAGGGTCACCCACAGCTCCACCGCCACTAGGACTCGCAGCACCCCCAGAGTCAGCACCCCCAGTCGCAGCACCCCCAGAACCAGCAGCTCCAGTCGCAACACCCCCAGGCGCAGCACCCCCAGAACCCTCACTCTCTATCTCAGCACCCCCAGGCTCAGCACCAGTAGTCTCAGCTCCAGGGTCCACAGCAGCAGGCTGCGGAGGCGGCGAAGACGGCCGAGGCGGAAAGCCAGGGGGGGTCTCCAAGCGTGGAGAGCGGCGAGTGGACGCCGTGTCGTCAGCGGCGAGGTCACCCCCCTCAGCTGGGCCAGAGGAGTCAGAAGAGATCCCCAAAGGCTCAACCAAGGGGGGTGGGTCTACCTGAGACACACCTGAGGGAGCAGGACCCTGTGGGGGGAGGGGGTCTACCGGGGGGGGACTGGTACCAAGAAAAGAGGCGCTAGGGGGACCGGGTGGGACGCGTGCGGGTGTAGCTTGTAGAAACAGATAGACTCGTCAAAGGTGACGTCCTGGGAGGGAAAGACTCGACGCGAGCGCGGGTGGTAGAACTGCCACGGCGGGGCGTCAGTGGGGAAGCCAAGGAAGACACAGCGGAGAGTGCGAGAGGAGAGCTTGCTCGCTTTGGCATCGCGAACAAGGGAGAGCGCGCCCCAGACCCGAAACACCGACGCATCGCCAACCTTCCCCGTCCACCGGAGTGTGGGCGAGGTCTCTGGCTCAGAGACACAGGGCCAGAGGTTGAGCTGATGCGCAGCGTATCGGACCGCAAACGGCCACAGAAAATGGGGAGCAGCCGCATGGATCATGGAGGTACGAGCAACCTCCATGATCAAGCCAATGCGACGCTCAGCAATCCCATTTTGCTGAGGAGAGGCCGGAAGCGTGAACGACTGGCGGATGCCCTTGTCTCGAGAGAACTCCGCAAGGAGGTCAGAAGAGAACTCACCGCCCCTGTCAGAGTGCAGACGCAGGACTGGGAAGTCGCGACGAAACCACTCGCGCAGCTGGCGACGAGTAGCACGGATCCAGGGGATCAAAACACCACTGACGTCCGCCTTGCGCCGCAAGGGGAAGACAGTGGTGTAACGTGTGTAGTCGTCAACAACCAGCAGGAAGTAGCGCTCCTGGTCCGTTCCGCCGACGGGGGCCGGGCCCCAAACGTCCATGTAGAGAGTCTGCAGAGGAGCAATGGTCGGAGGAAACTCGGAGGAGTTAGGAGCGGCGCGCTGCCGCCCCTCGACGCAGGGAAGGCACGGCGGGGCAGGCGAGCGCGGGAGGGAGGGCAGGGACCTGGGAAGGCCAGAGACAAGGAGACGGGAGTGCATGATGCGGAGACGCGGCAGCGAGGGGTGACCGAGGGGAGAGTCTGGTGGGAGAGTACCCGACACGAGCTAGACGCTGCAAGCTGACCACGACTCGACGCAGCCACCTGACCTGCCTCAGCCAACAGTGCAGACGCAGTGGTCAGTGTGTACAGACTAGACCCAGGCCGTCGAGTGAACGTAGCAAGGTGACGGCCAGTCCGGGAGCACGTACAGATCGCCACGCGCTGCCCTCTAGGAATAAAGGTATCAACCGAGACATCCTGAATGGCAGCGTTGCTCACCAAGTTCGTCGAGAATGTGGGGAGGTGGAGACCTGACAGAGAACCGGAGGGGACTGCCGGACACGGGAGGACATTGGAGGCTCGCGCAACTACTGGGCCCCCAGTGGGGTCAGCCAGTGAGACTGGGACAGGGGCTGCGAGTGGTGTGACTGTAGTGCAATCACGAAAGAAGCAACGTGACGCGCCTGAGTCAAGCGTGAAAGTGTGCAAGGCCTCAGCTGAGGCAGGACCAGTGGCAGTAGACTCACTAGCACCTAGAGCGTCGGCAGACTCACGAGCACCTAGAGCTGCAGCAGACTCACCAGGACCTGGAGCCACAGCAGATTCACTAGAACCGAGAGCAGCAGCCTCTACACGACCAGGGACGCATCGCTGAGAAGCACAGTCGCGAGGTCGCTGAGGCCACATAAAACCAACACCTCCACCACCAGGACTACCTCGCTGAATAACCCACTCACGAAGTTGCTGAGGCGTGGGGTCGTCCAGGAGAGGTAGTGACCGCTGCTGTCCACCCCTAGCCGCTGCAACTGCCGCGATAGTGGCCATGACAGGCAGTGACGGTCAGTAGTAGGTCCAGAACCTCCAGCACCAGCAGCACCTCCAGTACTCCCAGCCGCACCTCCAGCACCTCCAGCACCAGCAGCACCTCCAGCGCTCCCAGTAGCACCTCCACCAGCAGCAGCAGTAGCACGAGCAGAAGCAGCAGAGGTAGTAGCAGCAGGGCGGCTCGGTGGGGCTCGGCGGCGGCACCTCCAGCACTCCCAGCAGCACCTCCACCAGCAGCAGCCGTAGAAACGAGCAGCAGCAGCAGTAGTAGTAGCAGCAGGGCGGCTCGGGTTGGGCAGGGCGGCTTGGGCTGGGCGGCGCGGCTCGGCTTGGGCGGCGCGGGCAGCAGGGCGCGCGCTGTGCAGGGCAGCAGGGCGCGACACGCGGGCTGCAGCAGAGCGCGACGCCCGGGGCAGCAGGGCGCGACGCGCTGGCTGCAGTGCGCGACGCTCGGGGCAGCAGAGCTCGACGCGCGGGCTGCAGCAGGGCGCGACGCGCGGAGCAGCAGAGCGCGACGAGTGGGCTGCAGCAGAGCGCGGCGCGCGGGCTGCAGCAGGACGCGACGCGCAGGGCAGCAGGGCGCGACGTGCGGGCTGCAGCAGAGCGCGACGCGCGGGCTGTAGCAGGGCGCGACGCGCGGGCTGCAGTAGGGCGCGACGCGCAGGGCAGGGGCTGCTCACGGGCAGCAGGGGCGCTCGGGGCAGTGGCTGCTCGCGGGCAGCAGGGGCGCTCGGGGCAGGGGCTGCTCGCAGGCAGCAGTTGCGCTCGAGGCAGGGGCTGCTCGCAGGCAGCAGTGGCGCTCGAGGCAGGGGCTGCTCGCAGGCAGCAGCGGCGCGTTCGAGGCAGGGGCTGCTCGCGTGGCGCGCGGGGCAGGGGCTGCTCGCGGGCAGCAGGGGCGCTCGTGACAGCAGGGCAGCGCGCTAGGGCAGGCAGTGCGAGTAGCTGCAGGGCAGCGTGACACTGTGCGAGAGGGTCGGACAGCGCAGTGGGCAGGAACTAGCGGAACGATCGGTGGGCCCTAAAAACCTAACAGGTTTCCTGCTCTGAATACCATGTCAGAAACACTGTGCAGGAAAGAATGAACTATGAATGAGTTGGGTACAAGTACTAACCCTAAAGTGTTTTACCCCTTGGCTAACCCACTATAGCCTAGAGAGAACACAAACAAACATACAGTTTGACAAGAGTTGCAGCTTGTAACAAGAATATTTATTACTATGAAGACACTCACCACCCACAAGGGTGATTTTTTTGTTACTGTAGAGATGAGTGCATGTCACGTGTACGGGATCAAATGCAGCTGTGAGAATGAACAGATATGTGTAGGTAATTGTGAATGCATTTCTGGTTTGTAAAATAATCAAAAGTATATTAACAAAATGTAATTGATTATTGTTAGCATGCCTCGTTCACTCGTATTTTTGGTAATACAAGAAATAGAGCTCGTAACAGTATTCAGCAATATTTATGTTTGTAATTATACAGAATTTCTCTTTTGTACAGGTTCAATAGTTTGAGTGTACTGTTGTTACTCTCTTGGTAACATTTATTTTTCTGGACCAATCGAATCGACTCGTGTGGGTCGGGTGTGGGCGAACTGTGTTCAGTTCGAGGTAACATCTGCCCCTGATCCGCAGGTGACCCCATAGGTCACATCGAGGGCAAGTGTTGACTTCGAAAGTTGGCCCCACGAGCACCTCGAGGTAACACACTGGAACGTTAGGGCGTGTAAAATTGTAACGACCATAGTGAATGGTCGACTATTCGGGTGTTTCTGGCGATTGCGAAGAATTTATGGTAACGCGCATAGATTAGTCACCCCGACTTGACTGAATATCGATGGTACTTCCTGCTAAAGTTGCACCCACTGCACTTTGGGACATACCTACCTACCTACCTACCGGCCTTGTACTTGCCCCCGAACGTGCCCGCCTAACCTCACTGCTTGCTAAACACTATTTTTGTTTTCGATCCCCCGTGGATTCTACACCACCGTTCGAATGCTGCAACTGGAAACAAACATTTCGCTTTCAATTATGGGGGTGGTTTTCTGTGGGTACCCCACGTGCTGACGAAACCTGCAGCGATGTTCGCTGACACGTTACACCCTTCGCACTCGCCTGAAATACTCAAATGGTCGGAAAATCGCTGTGGTCATTACAATTTTACACGCCCTAAGTGTTAGGGTTAGCTCGAGGATACATCAGGGGCCCCAATTTTTTTAGACGCAGCCCGACGCTCGCTGTCGCGAGGGGAGCCACCATCGCGCGATCGTTGCTCGTCGCGCGCCCCACCGCGGCCTCGCCTTTCCTCACAGATTCCTCTGCTCCTGATGCCGCCGTCACCGCCGCCGTCCGACGATCTGTTCGGGCCCGACAACGACGAGTACGCGCGCACAGCGCCCTTCAGCGCGATCACACCCGCGGAAATCCCCTGCCCTCCTCCTCCCGATTATTCCGCGCATGATCGCGGAAACCAGGGGGGAGCATACGGGGGTGCAGGCGGGGGCTTCGGCAGGCGGGGGAGAGGCGGGCGCGGGCGGTGGGGCAGAGGCGGAAGCGAGTGGGAGGATCGCGGGCAGGGGTACGGCGGGAGGGGGCGGCACTGGGCTGGCGGAGGGGACTACGGCGGCGGAAGAGGCGGGGGACATGGGGGAGGCGGGCGGTGGGGAGGCGGCGGAGGGGGAAGAGGCTGGGGAGACGAATTCGGGCGGGGGGCTGGCCTGGGCGGACCTAGAGGCGGGGGGCATGGGGGAGGGCGCGGGGGAGGAAGGTTCGGGAGGGGAATGGGGCCAATGGGGGGGGCGCACATGGGGGGGCCGCGGCAGCACGTGGGCCCGGCGTTCCAGGTGGTGCCATGCAGCCTGCCCCACGTGGTGTCCGTGGCCGTGCTGGGCGCGTGTGGGCACCACGACGCCGCGCTCAAGGCGGCGAAGCTGCCCACCCTGCAGAAGCCCACGGCGCTGTGGGGCTTCAGCCGCCTGGCGGACGGCTCCGTGTGGAGCGACGAGCGCTGCCTGCGCCGCCTGCGCCCCGCCATTCTCGGCAAGGAGGGGCCGGGCGGGTGGGCAGCGGTGGACCTGAACGAGGGGTTCGAGGGGTTTGTGGCGAAGCGCGACGGTGGAGAGGCGCGCGAGGGAGGCGGTGGAAAGGTGGAGGAGGGCGACGCGGGTGGTGATGGGGTTGGCGGTGCTGGCGGCAGTGGCAGTGGTGGTGGCGGAGGTGGTGGAGAGGGCGAGAGTGGGTTTGCGGATGTGCTGAGGGGCATGCGGTGGGTGCTGCAGAAGCAGGTGGCGGCGCTGCAGGCGGGCATGGCGCCGGACCGGCTGCACTTTGTGACGTTCCGCAACAACCTCAACAAGCTCATGGGCGTCTGCTACAACCGCCGCGACGCGTGGCAGATGGGCGTGCACAAGCGCCTGGGGTCCGTGTACCTGCACGTGCACAGGCCGCCGGGTGACCAGCAGCAGCAGCACAAGCCGGAGCAGCAGCGGCGGTTTGAGTTCTACGGGTACGCGTTCGAGCACGCTGCGACGGAGCCAAGGAAAACTGGCACAGGGGAAGGTGGAGGAGGAGGTGGAGGGGAGGAGAGTACGGTGATAGATGCTAATGAGGAGTTCTGTGCGGTGATGAAGACGAAGCTGGGAGCGCACCGTGTGCTGATGGGGGCGGAGATGGACTGCTACGAGTGGGTCAACGTGCCGCAGCCCAACAACGCACCGCCCAGGCCCGAGCGGATCTTCGTGGAGCTCAAGACGAGCCTGCTGCCGGAGAGCAAGGGGCAGCGCGAGCGGCTTGAGCGCGACAAGCTGCTCAAGTGGTGGATCCAGTCGTTCGTGGGCGGCGTGGGCGCCATTGTCGTGGGCTTCCGGGACACAAGGGGGCGCCTGGTGAAGGTGGAGCGGTGGAGCCTGGGGGAGGTGACAAGGAGGGTGAAGGGCAAGGACTACTGGGAGGCGGGGTCCGTGCTCACCTTCACGGACCAGGTGCTGTCGTGGCTGTACGGCAGCGCGCAGGAGGGCGGCGACTATGTGCTGCGGTTCGTGCCGGGGCAGAGCCGCCTGGAACTGGCTGCTGCTGATGGCTGCCCCGCGTTCATTGAACAGCACTGCCAGGAGCTGGCCGCCATGGGCATCACCTGATGAACAGGGCCACGATGAACACCCTCACCCACCTGCCTCCACCCACGTGCCTGTACCCCCAACCTGCCTCAACCCGCACTCCTGCCTCTCTCTGTCCTTCATCAAATGGAACAGGTTGAACTCCTGCCCTCGCACGTGCTCACACAGACAGAGAGAGAGAAAGGGATCAGAAGCAGAAGGTTGCACTCATGCTCTCGCACGAGTTGACTGATATTAGGTCTCTCCTGTTGTTCACTCAAATCACCTCCCTCAGCCGCACTATAACCCATGAATGATGCGAGTGCTTCAGAACCCCTCCTTTGACTCGATCATTCATCCTGACTCCTCTTCCTCCACCCTTTCCCCCCTCAAACGGCTCACCCTTGCACAGAGACTGACGGTGGGGGGAAGGGGAGGAGATGGGAGAGAAGGGGCTGTTAGCATCCCTCAGCCGCCAGCCCCCATCCCATCATCTCACCTTCTCACCACCAGGCGCCATCCCATCATCTCACCTTCTCACCACCAGCCCCCGTCCCATCATCTCACCTTCTCACCACCAGCCCCCGTCCCATCATCTCACCTTCTCACCACCAGCCCCCGTCCCATCATCTCACCTTCTCACCACCAGCCCCCGTCCCATCATCTCACCTTCTCACCACCAGCCCCCGTCCCATCATCTCACCTTCTCACCACCAGCCCCCGTCCCATCATCTCACCTTCTCACCACCAGGCCCCATCCCATCATCTCACCTTCTCACCACCAGGCGCCATCCCATCATCTCACCTTCTCACCACCAGCCCCCGTCCCATCATCTCACCTTCTCACCACCAGCCAGGACCCTCGTTTGAAGGGTAAAATGCACAGATTACCCTTGCTGTGGGCTGCTTTATGAGAGGTCTCCTGATTTTTTCTGGCTGTTTGGTTTTCCACCCTTAGCTTGTAGTACCGTGAGTGTAACATGTTTTTCACCCAGCCAAATATCAATGATGTTTCTCGAGGTTAACTGGACAGAAAGGTGGTATGAATTTCAGACTGAAACAAAGTCTGGTACCGTACATGTCAAATTACATACATAGGTGTTAGGCTGTAGTGAGGCACTCTTCGTTCTGCACACTGCGTCCCACCAGGTAGCTGCGTCCGGTCAGGTTGCTGCGCCCGGTCAGGTTGTTGTGTCGTGCTACTGTCGGTCACTCACCCTCCCGACTCTCCTGTGGCACCACCGTCTTGGTCACCGTCCCTCCCACGCCTCCGCAGCATGGCTAGCCATCGTATTGTCTCAGGTCTCCTGCGCGTCTTTGAGTCGCTCTCTCGTTCGCCTGCGCAGCCGTGCACTCGTTGCGTCGAGGGTAGGCTGCGCGCCACTCCTCACTCCTCCCGTCGTCCGGCCACCACACCCTTTCAGACTCTCCACTTGGACGTCTGGGGCCCAGCCCCTCGACTTGGGCACGAGCAGGCCCCTAGATTCGTTTTGGACCAGGCTGATGCATCAGCCTTGGTACGGGAAAAAACGCTGGCAGTCAGCGTTGCCTAGGAAAAAAACTCTGGAAATTCAGCGTTCATAAAAAAAATACGCTGATTGAGTATAGCTTTGATTCTAAGCAGAATTACGAATTACACACACAAAGTGTAACATTTTTATGGTTGGTTTGGGAGTGGCGAGGGAAGCAGGCGGGCTTTGGGGGAGGGGCGAGCAGGTGGGCTGGGGGTAGATTCGAGTGGAACACGCGGACTGGGGGGAGATTCGAGTGAAACACGCGGGCTGTGGGGAGATTCGAGTTGAACACGTGGGCTGGGGGGAGATTCGAGTGGAACACGGGGGCTGGGGGGAAAATTCGAGTCACGGGAAGTGGGGGGGAAATTCGAGTGGAACACGGGGGCTGGGGGAAGTTTTGTGTGGAAGTGGTGGGGTGGCGGAGGTTTCACTGTTTGCCGGTTTCAGTGTGCACCCCCTACAAGGCTGAGTTCTCAGCCTACACCCATACAAACAGGCTGAAAAATCAGCTAAGGTACATAAAAAAACACTGAAAAATCAGCCAAGGTACATAACAAAAAACTTTGGATTCAGCCTAGTGTAATAAAAAAAGCCTGATCTAACGTTGAATCAGCGTAAAAAGGCTGATATCTAGGTCCCTGGGCCCGAGAGGGAACGCTACTTTCTGGTGGTCGTTGACGACTACTCCAGGTACACCACGGTGTTTCCCCTGACGAACAAGTCCGATGTGACTTCTACGCTGATCAAGTGGTTACTGGCCACTGATGCAACTCGTGGAAGTCGTGTCCTTTGTCTCCACTCCGACCGAGGGGGTGAGTTTCGCTCAGCCGTGCTTGCCGGGTTCTGTAGCGAGCAGAGCATCACCCAGTCCTGTACGCTTCCGGAGTCCCCACAAAGAATGGGGTTGCTGAGTGCCGCATCGGCTTGGTCACCTCCATGATTCATGCCCATGCGCCCCATTTTCTGTGGCCCTAAGCGGTTCGCTACGCCGCCCACCATCTCACGACCAAAGACTTCACCGACCAGTTTTTGTACTGGGTCCCCTGGTGTTGCGTCGGGGTTTCGTGTCGGGGACTACCTTGCATCGGGGTTTCGTGTTGCGACACCTCTGCGGATAAGCTCTCGGCTCGCGCCATTCCCTGTGTCTTCCTTAGTTTCCGGTCGCTCCTGACTTTGCGTTCTACCACCCGCCCCTCCACCGGTTCCTCGACTCCGTGACGTCCAGTTTGACGAGTGCGTGTCCTACTACGCTCGCTACCTCTGTCGATTCCCGGTTTCTCCCCTTCTCCTCTTCCTCGCCTGAATGCCTCCTCCTGCTCCCGCTCCTCCGATACCCCCGGCCCCCCTGGTCCTGCCCGCTCAGGTGTGTCTCACGCTACCCCTCTCCCCTCGGTAGCACGTCAGGTGTCGTCTCCCTCCCCACAGTCCTCCTCACAGTCACCTCAGCAGCCTTTGGCACTACCGCGACATGTTGCGGTGGACTCAGGGGGTGTCGGAGCAGGAGGTGCTGGCACTGGAGGTGCTCGTTCTGTGGGTGCTCGTTCACGGGGTGCTGTAGCTGGAGGTGCTGGCACTGGAGGTACTGGTTCGGGGGGTGCTGGAGCTAGAGTTGCTGGCACTGGAGTTACTAGTTCTGGAGGTGCCGGCGCTGGAGTTACTGGCCCTGGAGGTCGTGGTTCTGGGGGTGCTGGAGCAGGATGTGCTGGCACTGGAGGTGCTAGTTCTGAGGGGACTAGAGCTGGAGGCACTACTCCTACGGCGTCCACTCCGCCTCCCCACCGCTATGACACTCGTCACTAGGCTCTTCTACTGCTTGGGCGCGCGAAGTGTTATAGTCACAATAGGCTTGAATGTGCCTAAAACGAAAGATAGAGAGCACAGACGGATTTCTGCACAGCGGCTTCAAACGTTGATAGCGTTCTGCTCACAGCTGCAAATGACTTGATTCAAATTGGATCTGGAGCGTCTTTACGTCGCCTACAATAAGCAATTGAGATTGCACAATTTCATAAAGAATTGACGACACATCGTCGGTTTGAACGAACGGTACTATGGCAGCCACTATAGTCTTAGAACACAAGATAGGAAGAGTTACGAGTTGGGAATGACTCCCAGCTCCTACAAACCCCAAGAGCCGAGGTACAGTGATGTGGAACAGTGCCACACTGTCCCCAACCACGAAGGGTCTCGAAAATACCCTCCACAAGGGCCTACACCAAGAGAAATGTTACACTACACAAAGTAATGCAACTATTCTCACTATCTTAAAGTTTACCCTTTTGGAGAGCTTCGAAATCACTTGATTCTTGAAACCAAGGCTCTGGTTCTTCAAGGTAAATTCTTCCTTGAGTTCTTGGAAGTCTGCTGCGCACACCTGCGACACGCCGAACGTTCCACACACGACAAAATAGAAAACCGCACACGACACGCAAACGACGACGTGACACGCGACTAGCGATAACTCGCTATTGACTCGACACACACATTCAAAATCATGCCTCATCATTCACACACTATTGTAAGCATGAAATATATATTATTTCATGCCCTCATACCATTCCATGAACACACGCATGCACGCGCACGGACAACAAGCCGAATGCAAACCGTAGGGTTGCACCAACAAACTCCCCCTCGGATTGTTGGCCTTAGGATCTTGCTCTCTCAGTTCAGAGCCATCCCAGCCAGCTTGCAACACTTCCAATGCTGCTGCTCCACCAGCCTCTTGGTCATCATGTCAGCTGGCTGCCTTGTCGTCTTCACATAGTGCAACTCAACTTCACCCGCGGCCACCATGCTCCTCGTCCAATGCCACTTCACCCTCATGTGCTTGGTGAGGCCATGCAACACAGGGTTCTTAGCAAGAGCAATGGCACCCTGGCTGTCACAGTAGAGTGGGGTAGGTCCTTGCTGCTCCTCCCCCAATTCAGCCAACAAACGCCGCTGCCACACAATCTCTCGTACGGCACGGAAGAGTGCCATATACTCGGACTCCACCGAGCTCAATGCTTGATCCACCTGCTTCTTGCTCTCCCAAGCAGTTGGGCCTCCACCAACACAGCAAATGAACCCTCCAACACTTGTCATGTCCTCTGGTTCTGATGCAAAAGAAGCATCCGAGAATGCGGTGAGGAACAAACGCCCGGGTTCAACACCATCCGCGCCCTTTTGGCGCCTTTGCGCCGCCGCCGAATATTGCAGCCCAACGGTCGGTGTTTGGCCAAGATACTTGGCCACCCTCATTCCAGCTGCTACCTGCTCCTTATTAGGGCATTGAACAACCCTAGCCAACTGTCCGGTAGCAAACGCGACGTCCGGTCGGGTGTTTACCGCCGCGTACATGAGGCTGCCCACCAACGAGTGAAAACGGCGCCTCTCCTCTTCACCAACGCTCTCCTCCTCTGGTCCCTTCACACACTTGAACCCAGAGGGGAAGGGTGTAGCCACATGGCCTTCACTCTGCCCAAAATTGGCAGCCAATGCCTCCAGGTACTTTCGTTGATGCACCCGCATGCACCGCTTCTCCACATCTCGTTCGATGTGGAGCCCAAGGTAGAAGCTCACGTCACCAAGGGCCTTGCACTTGAACTTGTCTTGAAGCTTCAGCATCACCTCCTTCACAAGGTCAGAAGAGGGTGAGAAAATGAGGATGTCATCCACATAAACCACCATGAAACTCCTCTGCTCCCCCTCGCCAAGCATGAACAAGGAATGATCGGCGGATGAAGGAGTGAAGCCTATCTCCTCCAAAACTCCTCGCAGCTTCAAGTACCACTGCCTAGGGGCCTGCTTCAGTCCATAAAGGGCCTTCTTCAGCCTCAGAACTCTGCCACTACCATCATCAAACCCCTCTGGCTGCGCCATAAAAATCTCTTCCTCAAGGACGCCGTTGAGGAATGCCGTTGTGACATCCATTTGTTTCACCACCCATCCTTTGATGGCAGCTCCCGCGAGTAGGGTTCTCAGCATCGTCGGCTTCACCACAGGAGCAAACAACTCCTTATAGTCCACCTTCTCCTTCTGCTGGTACCCCTTCGCCACAAGCCTAGACTTGTAGCGCTCGATCTTGCCGTCGGCGTCGGACTTGATCTTGAAGAGCCACTTGGACGTAATCGCCTTACGCCCCTCCGGTAGCTCCACCAATTCCCACGTGCCGTTCTCCTCAATGCTCTTCAGCTCACTCTCCATTGCCTTCTTCCACTCCTCAGCATCACTACTCTCCAAGGCCTCCTTGAGAGTTGCTGGTTCCCCCGGCATCTCCACCGGAGAGAAGAACGCGAAGGCACACTCCTCGTAGTCACTCTCCTTGTCATCTCCAACTATAAGTGCCGCTCCGGCCAAGGCTGACTTGGCTGGCTTTCCC